TTAAATTGTTACATATTAGAATCGGATTGTTACATATATTATTTAGTTACGAAATGCTGTTCAAATATCTTCCCTATAACATGAATGTAGTAGCTCGTGAAAGTTTTCTACATTGTCCTACTATATATATTGAATATTTGTGCAAAATTTCAAGACATGATGTTTAGTAAAAACTCTGAAATCACTTACCTCGATTTGCTGTTATATTTTTGCAGTGTCCTTATTCCCTAATATAATGTACACGTGAACTTATGATACATAACATATGCAGGACTAAATCCACGGATTTCGACAGTGTACGTGTAGACTTTGTATTCTCGATAACATGATAAAATGAAATAGTTAGAGTTTTAATGTTTCACCATAGTGGTCTAGACAAAAGTAATGTAACATGCAATATAACCTATTTAAATCGACTAAAGCCACTTTAGAACCACTTTAAGATAAGCCGGTCATTCTAGTTCTGACCATACATTTCATTTTGGATTACCAAAATGTGAATTTTGCAAGAAAATCAAACTGGTAAGCGACTATGCATACATTTTTGTCAATTTTAGACTTTGACTATTGCTTTGACTTGGGAATCCTTTACTTCAACTTTACAAGCAATGACGGTTTTTTGTCACAAATAAAATTCCATTGGAACCCAGAACAACAGATACATCGGTCACTGTCTGTCTCTAGTAAACGTTATGACAAGTTTAATCCAATCTACACAAATTATGTTTTAAAATGTTTGTAATGGCTCTGTGTCTTTTATTATTATGAAATCAAACATCAAATATCGCGAACTAGATGATGTACATGTAAATAACTGGTTTCAAAACATTTTTAGAGCCTGGTATTCAAGAGGTTAAATTACACCCCCCGAGTTAATACCCTAGTAAATGTTACTTACCGATGATTGTTTTGTGTAGATCTAAAATGCAAATCTTCCGTAAGGTTTGAGAAAGAACTATAGACTTACGGAATCGTAACTTAACGGAGATCGGAGAAATAGACTAGAGCCCAGGCCCGTAGCCAGCTTTTGCCAAGGGAGGAGTTCACTTCTTGGGGTTCACATTGCACTAATTTAGCCAAAATCACTTAAAAGGTGCTCAGAATGGTGAAAAATTGCATGATTTTAAAATAATTGTTGACCAGGGCACTGCATGGTGATCCACTCGATTGCGCTGGTTACCGAAACGACATTTTTTCACACAAACGTGTATAAGTTACTGTATCGTGGCCTTCCAGTAAAGATATATTCCTGCATGAACAACTGGTCATGTCGTAATCATAAAATTTGAAATCATATGTCCGCCATTTTTCCATATCACAATTTGAATTGCGAGTTTTGGTCTTATTACCTCACCAAAAATTCCAAAACACACATAAAGTGAGCAGTGTATTGGTTCACATCTTCTGGATCGCTAACTTAGAATTTACAGCCAGTTACTAATGTCACACTTCAACGACTTTTCGTCCAGTTTTCGAACATCGCCATTTTTCTTTGAGCCATTTTGTTTAATTTCAGACGAAATCCTGATGAAATCATGTCATATCTCATCAAGGAGCCGAGCGGGGTCCGTTTTGATTAATGATTTATTTATCTGGCGATTTTAAAAATATTCAATAAATTTATGACACGGCGGCCAGGTGTTTTCAAATGGAGTTCACAGTATTCCAGATGAAATCCCCTCTCATATGTTTTAGGAAAATCTACATGTTTGCAAAAAATAGCTCAGAAGACAACAGAATCGTTGATTTAATTCCTCACTTCAGTTACAGAAACGGTATGGGTTAAAAGTGCATATCTTAACTGTTAAATCGACGATTCTGTGGGAATTCTGCCTACAACGTGTGAAATAAGGAAGTGAAAAATCGTACCTTCGACGTTCCGACATTTTGAACGAACCGTTTCGGTAACCAGCGTAATCGAGTAGATCACCAGTGCAGGGAGGGGGGGGGGGGGTCCGAACCCCCAAGGTAACACCCGAGTAGATGCTACTTACTGGTCCCGGTTACTGGTTGGTTTATGGACATCTATTGTTGTAAATCCTAACTTTATCAAAGATATATATTCCAATGTGATCTAGCTCCAACTGAACTATTATATGCAGATTATTGTAAATCTGAACTTCATTCAAAGATACGTTCGAATGTGATCTAGCTCCTAGTGGACTAATATATGCAGATTATTGTAAATCTGAACTTCATTCAAAGATATGTTCCAATGTGATCTTGCTCCTAGTGGACTAATATATGCAGATTATTGTAAATCTGAACTTCATTCAAAGATATGTTCCAATGTGATCTAGCTCCAAGTGAACTATGCAGCACGAATTTATTTACAAGGGCAAAATAATTAACGTTAGGATTAACAACTGTGTTTCACAGTGATACGATGTTTACTTCATCTAACTTTAACTTCCTAAACAAATAGCTGGCTGGTAATATGATAATAATTGTCCTATTTTCTACATACCCTGTACGTGACACGTTTTAGAAAATGTATATCCTTAAGTACAGTTTCAAGACAAGACGCGTAGATAAGCTGACTCGTAGACAAGACCAACTGCGTACATTTGTAGTATCCACTGGGTAACTTAAGTACATGTACGACAGAGTGAAGGGGATGAGGTTGGGGGCAAGTTTATTTTGCAATAGGATTACATCACAGATTTTTAGATTACCAATAATTTGATTCATATCAACATGTCAAAAATCTATAAAAATGAAATGGGAAACGTCCAAACATTCCATGGTATGAAAGCTTTAACCCTAGAAGCACTAAGGGGGGAGGTCATTGACCCCCCCCCCCCTTGTTAAGTTTTTCCCCACAACCTTTTATTGGCATCTGGTAGGGTCTTCAAATTTTCAGTAGCTGAAGCTACAGATATAACCAATGTTTTCTGAAAAAATCAGCAAAATTGAACATAGGGTAATTGATTTATTATGATGTAATCATCAGCTGCAATAGACAAAATCGGTAAAAGCTGAGTCTATTTCTATCATACGTGTTATCTCTAGAATAAGATTAGTAATTTACACAACTTCCATCATCATAGTTGATAAAGTAATTACACCAAAGTTTAGATGATTGAAGTATATTTGGGGAAAGTTGGAACATCCTAGCTTTACTAATTTGTTATTAATTTATCTTGATGTAATCATCAGCTCCAATAGACAAAATCATAAAAAAGCTAGCACTTATTCTACCATACGTGTTGTCTTAAGAATAAAATTACGCAATTTTACATCATCGTAGTTGTTAAGTTTTTACACCAAGTTGTAGATAATTGAATGAAGTATATGTGGAAAAGTTTGAACATCATAGCTCTACTAACAAAAATCTTACAAGGGGTGTCCTTTTGACCCCCCCCCCTCTTTAGGTGTTCGTGTGACTATTTTTACCTAAGGGCTTCTAGGGTTAACCCCCCCCCCTCTCGGTCACGCTTTCGTTTCCTTCCTGCCCATTACAAATAGCTACGTGTACCAAGGAGGATACCGACCTTTTAAAATAAATAACATTAAAATAAAAAGTCAAAATTGTAATGTTCATAATCCGATTGGATACTTACATATTAGTTGTGTTGTGTTATCTAGAATCTTTCCACTTAGCAGTGTGCTTTTAGTTGTGTTGTAGTCTCTAGAATCCTTCCACTGAGCAGTGTCCTTTTAGTAGTAGAATCCTTCCACTGAGCAGTGTGCTTTTAGTAGTAGAATCCTTCCACTGAGCAGTGTGCTTTTAGTAGTAGAATCCTTCCACTGAGCAGTGTGCTTCGAGCATTGGCAATTCAAAAACCAAAATTACCCAAATATTCATATTGATTATTAATTTGTAAGATTCTCTTGTTTATGTAAGTTGCAATTTAATTGGCCTTATGAAATCAAAACTCCTAAGCCTTTAAACAAACATAACTAATCGTCTAATGGCTTCTATTTTGATTAAAGGCCCGTATAAAGTTTTAACCATCTTGGCGTACAACTATAGTCCTGCTATCAAAATGTTGCATGTGAAACATTTCATTTAAATTTCAAAAAGTTGATTTTGAATGATTTTTGTTATAGAATTGTGGATATCATATAAAAGTTTAGTTGTCATACACGTACACTTTACATTGTTAAGTAATAAATTACACAAAATGCATAGGGCAGGTATCCAAACCTTTACTGTTCAAAAAGTTAGGAAAATGTGTTGAAAATGAGAAAGAAAATGACTTATAAGCTCAAAAATTAAAGTGGTTCAGAAAATATTGCATTTTGAGATTTTAATTCCTAATATACATGCATGTATTAAAAACACGAGAACGACTTATTTTCAACCCATATGTAGGTAGCAAATAGTATTGCTTTATTTTGACAGTTTAACTTGTTTAGAAAACACTGTGTCACCTTAGTGATATCAAAGCGTTTCGTCACGTTGTATTTTGTGAACTAAAATCTAAATGTTTGTGTCCAAAATGACGGGAAATTCAAATATTTGAAAATTATAAGTTGAACTACAAGTTTTTTTTTAGAAATGACTCAAATGCTTTTAAAGTCATAAAAAGTAATATTTGAATGATAAAATTCTATATGTTAAAACTTCATATGGGGCCTTTAATGTTTGTTCACAGAATTTTGAAGACAGAATGTAACATTTTGATAAGGTGACAAAATTCTTTATACAAGCACATGTATCTGATAGTAAAATTAGAAACATGTTAGAAACACGTGTAGAATACGTGACTCTCGTGTTTCTCCTCGTGTTTTTGATTGGTAAATATGAAACTCCATTTTTGAAGTCATGGGACTTCTTAATTGTAGTTTTAGAATTACACTGAAATCAAATGATACAGGACAACATTCAACACGAACATCCATCCATGGCATCCGGGCATGCAACATGCATCCGGGCATGGCGATTAATCATTTTGGTTTGTTTGGACTTTGATCCAACCTAATATGAGTCAGATTCGACATTGGTGCGAGTTGACTTTAGCCCCGAGTTGACTTCGATTCGAGTTAACCTTGGTCTGAGTTGACTGTTATGTGCATGTTCACTGTAATGCGCCTTTAAACGATGCGCATATTTACACAGGTAAAGCGATTCTACCATTTGCCAGCAGGTGTATTGCGTATGGTCTATCCAGCGTATATTATTTTTAACATTAAGTCTTACCATCATGTAGCTACCTCATTCATTAGTTCTAGAGATGAAAATACCGAAGCTTCGTAATGGTTTACATTGGACCTCAGATTGGAATGGCAGTTAATGGGATTGGATTTCTATTTTTCATGACTTGTATAGGTAGGCAACGTTAGTCCATATATTTTAATTACCTAGTTTTTGCTTTACGAACGGATGTTGACCCTTTGAATTGCCTCTGGACTTCGAGACTGGATTTTATCTATACCACATCATTTGAGCCTGAATACTCTATCTTTTATGAGTACTAGTATCTACAACTATTTTTGATGTTTTGAGTATTGGCTATCAATTTTTCAATTTTTCTTCAACATGTATTGTAATGACTTCAGTATGAATGAAGTGCCCCTTGTTCTGGTCCTGGATTGTGATATTGGTTCTCGATTGGAGGGGGAGGGGGATGTTAGACATTGTTTCCTTTCACGTTAGATTATGGTTTTGAGATATATAGGATCTACTTTTCTTATGACAGATTTACACTTACAGTTTGCTTTTCCTGTTGGGTTTCCTTAAAGTTTTTAGTCACCCTTCTCTTTTGGCATTTGTGCCTAAGTATATATTTTTATTCTCGTTAATTCGTTTGTTTCTTATTTGAAAATATTGCAAAAGAAATTTCTTCCTAATTTAGAGATCGATGTTTATTGCCGTGGCGGTCGTGGCGGGTCAAAAGGCGGGGGAGGTAGAGCTCGGATATATTCGGGGACCCCGAGTAGAATTTACTCCGCCGGTGGGGGCAGATCACGTGGTTTTAACCTTGAACAGTCAAGATACAATATAAGGTTGCGCAGTGGAAGAAGTTCGAACAACGGATATAGAATTAGTTCATATAGATTCACCAGAGCGCAATCCATGGCAAACGAAAGGTATGTTGCTTCTTAATTGAATCTGGTAGATGTTGCATCTCTGGTCATCTCTGGTTACGGATACCAATATAAAGAATTGATGGAGTTCATACTCGAAGAAAGGATCTGTACGTCGGTTCGGATGTTCCCGTGATGTTCGTGCATGTTTATGTACTACTAATGAATGTCGATTGTCTTATCTTAATTGTCTGATTATTGTTTTAGGGTATCAATCATTCGATAAAATCACATTTACCGAATATAAATCAAATAAAATCAAACATTTTTTGTAATTGATATAAAGCCACGATTTAATCATGGGTCGTTGACCAAAGAACACCACGGGACACAATTTGAACCATTGTGTTCATTGTTCCGATTGTGACAGTGATGTGCACACGCGCTAGCTGAAGAAAATAAGATAGCATTGTGTGTATCACACATACTGTTGTAAACAGGAATGAACGGATGTCAGATTAGGCGATTCCTGGTTCCTGGACTTTACTTTGTTTCAATTTTAGAATCTCACAGATGTATAATGCCCAACAACGGAGGAATTTCCCAGGATCCTCCAGTGCAAGTTACAGACACGGTCGATATACTTTATACTACAGCCGTTTGTATTCGAACTACCGTTCTGTAGATTACCAGAACAAAGGATATGGGAGCAGTAATGCTGAAATGTGCTTTAATAAGGACCTTGGGGGAAATCGCACAAATGTAGGTGCTTTCACATGCCCCTTGCCGTTTGAGCCATCCTATTTTGTGTACTGTTGCGGTCAACAGAATTCCCAGTATTGTTGTGGCTTTTGGGACTTGTAAGTATACAATCTTTTATTTTATTTTATCGTATACTATCCATTCTGAAAGAAAATTGAGCTCGTATGTATACCAGTACTATCTATTGTAAAGTTTCAGTTTCAGTTTAGTTTTTATTTCTACCCACACCTGTGAATATAAATACATATACAATATACGTGTAATATAAAATTGATACAATATCCAATGACAGTTATTTACATCCTAAATTTTGTCATGTACAGACGTATGCTCAATGGGTGATGGAGATCAGATTCAAAGTTAATATTGGTCTTAATTGCCTTGTGCAAATCTTTTGCAAAACTTTGAGATATCCAGATATTAGGAAAACCTATTTCATTTTAAATATCCTCTACACACTTTAACCACTGTGACTTATAAATACCTTCCTGGTATAGTTTTAGCATTGCCGTTATATACTTTGCTACTTTAAGTATCACAAATTAATTATCCTTGTTTTTATTAATATTTCAATAGAGTATCTACCCAACTCACTGTATATTATAAACGATGGTGTTGCTCGTTTAACTCTCAAGATATATTTACAATATTTTTAATGAAGTTTTTCATACTTGAGCATTGCTTTGAGCATCCCCATACCTCACATGCATAAGTAAAAGATTGGCAATATTAATGAGTCAAATAAATGTAATTGTATATCGAGTGGCAAGCTCATCTCTGTACATCTCCCTAAGACACTATACATAGCATTTTCTGCATTTCGTAATAATAAATTAACATTCTTGCGAAAATTCTTATTATAAGAGAACCAGGGGGTCATTAACAGAACTTTCGCAAAGTTACGAATTCGTAATTCGTAACTTTATGAAATTCGTAAATATTTAAAAAGTTACGAATGATTTACGAATTCATAAAGTTACGAATCGGCCATTAACAGAACACCTTCGTAAGTCATTCATAAGTTTTATCGTTCGTAAACGAATTTCAAATTGTGACGTCATCTTATATCATTATTTAGCACAAATAAAAATATGATGTCATTTGATATCATTGCGCGCTGTGATCAAACCTGTCTCCGCGATTTCAAAGATTCCCAGCTCAGGAACATATTTGCTTATCATGTAAGAATAGGTAAATATTTTAGCTTGAAACTCAGCATGCATATAGAGAACGATTTCTTTTTGCCAACCTGTATACCTTACATAAGAATTGGATGAGAAATGTGCCATTCGCAAAGTTATGAAAGGGTCTGAGGTGCTATTAAAGTTACGAACGAAAGCATACGTGACGTCATTTTTTCGTAACTTTGCGAATCGTTCGTAACTTTACGAAAGTTCTGTTAATGCACATTTACCAAATTCGTAAAATTAACAATTGACTTGCGAATTCGTAACTTTACGAAAGTTCTGTTAATGACCCCCTGACTCCCAAATACCAAAGGCGACTGAGTTGCGAAAAGTAACAAGAAGTTCAAATAGTTGAAAATTGTTGGTTGATTGAGGTATTATTTTTTGAGGTACGCTGGGAAACATGAAATTTCTTCACAGCGCAAGTATTTCATTGTCATCAAATACATGTAAGTAAACGTTAAACCACGAAAGCACTATTGACCTTAAAAGAACTGCTGACCGCATAAGATGATTACATAAATCAGTTTTACTTGCTTATTGTGTATGTTGGTTGGTCCGTGGAATAGCATGGGACTAATATAATACCGAGGTAAAAATATTTTGATGAGACGAATCGTAATTTCATAAATATCAAGCCGTGTTTTTCCAACTGCATTTTATGATGTCCCCAAAAAGAAGTTTGAATATTCAAGTTTATTATACCCCCTTGTATGTGCCGCTCTCGTTGGAGCATAAGGGTGTTGATATCGCATTGAAGTTTGAAATATTAGAAAGTAGCTGATTCAAATTTTGTTTTTTGATTTCAGGTCTTCCCACGTAATTGGCGTTATTTCTGGAGTTATCATCCTCGCTGTGTGTATCATTGTCATCTCTTGTGTGGCAAGGACCAGATGTCGTAAGACAAAAATTGATGATACACGAAAACAAAATACGGGATAGTTATCGTGACGAGAACAAGTATACATATGATTGGCCAGGGATGACCATATTGACACTAACACAAGTTCACACCAACGGCGCTTTGATGGCGCTTTAAAGCGTACAAAGCTGATTTGCCTATTGATTTTGCCATTTACATACCAATAGATCAGGAGCATTTGGACCCCCTCCCCTGGCAAGGCATGTGAAGACTACATGTACTTGACTTGTCTCATTTCAATGATTAGTTTTATAAAATACCAATCAAAGCAAATAACATGAATTACCCTGGCGATAATTTAATAGGCAAACGCTGACTTTAGTTGAACCTGAAGTCACAAAAATATCATAAATGTCTTAGTAAGATGGCAGCTATATTCAGCTATATTAGCGCTCACAGTTGAAACATCAATATCAAGTTTCGAGTAAATTGAATATTGAAAGGTGGCGCTCTGTATACAGATACATGTTGAATTCACATATAAAATTTCACCTGCGTGCTGAGCAGTTCAAAAATCAAACCAGATTTTCGAGTCAGCAATTAAAGAATTCTATCTAAGAAAATCACTCATTAGATCAACTATTCCAAATAACCTAACCACATTCAATGTCAAACGCAGTCGACTCAAAAACAAAATAAATTGAAAAGATTCACAATTTGTACAAGTATGCTCAGCACAGCAGTGAAGTTTCAATATGAAGATACAACCTCAATCGTATGATGTTGTTAAGCATAATGCTGTTCTATACGACGAGGCTATTGTTTTGTACAATATTATGCTATTCTCTTCAATCTTTGTTTTATTGTTTAGCATGATGCATGATGTTGATGTGTCATACAATACACGGTTGTTGAACTGTACAACGCATTGTTGTTCCGTACAATCTAAATATTATTGTTCAGAACAATAATGTTGATCTTTCTATATTTCAGGCATCGATCTGTACAATATTGTCATGTTCCATACAATCTTTACATTGTTAAGCATCATGTTGTTTCTTACAATAAGGTGTTCTGTACAATCCTTTGTTTCTCAGACTGAAAAACATATATTGTAAATGTATATTGTTGTCCAGCACAATAACGTTGATGTTTCATACAATACGGTTATTATCCTGTACAGTTTTTTTGTTGATCCGTACAATCTGTATATTGTTGTCCGCACAATAATGTTATGTTTCATGAAATTCGCTTATTGTACTATACAATCCTTTCTTGTTCCGTACAACATTAATTATGTTGTTCAGCTCGATGATGTTGTTGTTTCATACATAATAGTTATTGCTTCATGCGGTCTTAGGCTGTTCTTTACAATAAAGTATATACCCCATATAAAACAGTTTATGTTCTGTTCCAAGACATTTTCCTTACAATAAATTTCTATTTTGTAGAATAGACTCACAAAATAAAAATGGCATCAAGTGGAGAACGTCTCGGTCAAAACTAGAAAGTCATATTGATTACACCCTTCGAAAAGGAAAATATCAGGAGGGAATAAGAGTCTTACTGCATTAAATAGAAAATATAGTGAGTGAGCTATTAATGAGGGTACCCAGGATATATGAGCGTTTCTTGTGAATACTTTAAAGTCGCGACACATTACTATCTTCATTTAAAGGGCGTGTATCAACGTTTTTTTCCAATTGATAAGTAAAATCTTTATATTATTGTTCGTCATAATAATGTTGATCTTTCATACAACACGGTTGCTGTTCTGTACAATGTTTTGCTGTTCCGTACAATCTTTAAGTTATTGTTCTTCAGCACTATAATCTTGATGTTTCATATAATAAGCGTATCGTTATGTACAATCCTTTTGTCCTGTGCAATCTGTATATTGTCGTTAAGCACAATATTATTGATGTTTTACATAATACAGTTATTGTTTTGTGCAATCTTTTTTGTTCCATACAATTTCTTTATAGTTGTTCTGAAAATATGGATGATGTTTCATACTATAGGGTTATTGTCCTTTACAATTTTTTGTTGATCCGAACAATCTGAATATTGTTCAACATAATAAAATTGAAGTTTTTACAATACAATTTTGTTCTGTATAATCTCTTTTGATCCATTTTATATTGTATCATCTTTACGATATGTACCATGTAAGGTACCATCTACCATTTTCATTAAGTGAAAATTCAATGGAGATTCAAATAGAAAATCTCTAAGGAGCGCTCTAGGCTCTATTTACATTAGTATTGCGTTGCATAAATCAATGTAAACATAAGAAATATATATGTGAATCATTTGTGCGTTTAAGTTGACCCTTCATATTATTACTGGCATTACAATAAAGATTGAATTTTAATAAAGGAATAATAAAATTATAATATGAATAATATGAATACTGAATGTAATATTTTTTGTTGGAAATTGTTGAAAGACCCAGGAGGATACTCTTATTTTAGGCAAACTTTCATGTCAATCTTTTTAAAAGAACTGTGATGGTCGTTTGGTGAGCCAATTGTGTTTGGCCACTTGTACCATGACACACACTCACTATTAGCAGGGCACTTAGCATTAGCACTATAAAGCCAAACAGATTTGCATGGCGGCAGAAATTATACCACCAAGTCCCTTTGAAGTTTACAGCACAATTGCTCCTGTATTCATCATGATCACTGTCCTTTGTAGTAAATACCATACAATTTTGGTACGCAATAGAGCATAGCTGTAGGGATCGCGTGTTCTTCTAAAAACAATTTATTTCTCAAAACGATTCTCGACATTATTAATAATAAAAAACAACGAACGTTGATAGGGAATGAAAATTTTCCAAAGTTATTAAATAGAGAACCAGATTTAGCGAGCAGCATACATAACGAAAAATTGTTTCAATCTCAGAATATTTCAGGCTTATGTCATTCCTTTTCATGTCTATTTTCTGAAAATCCCCATAGTGTACACTTTTTTCAGGAAATCTAAGGATCGATTTTTACAATATTGTATTATTTTCTATAAGAATGGTTACCATTCTTATAACTTGGGGCAATTTTTTATTTAAATTTTCACTTTGAATCCATTATAAACTCACCAATTTATAACATATCGTGAATCCTTTGGGAGATATAGTATTTGAGATCATAAGGTATAGATTGGTAGGTCAATTGTTCATGTTACTTAGAAATTTGTCAGCCCCATAGATCCGATTCTGCCTTTTAGTACATATTATTTTTTATTTTCAATTCAAAGAAAGAACAAATATGTATTTTGAGCACTATGTATTCTTTGATGCAAGGCATTGGAATTTATAAAAGGTTTAACTATAGAGTCTACAGAGCACAATTGATATCTTGAATACAAATTGAGAGCATTCGTATAGCCATAAAGACTTTTATATGTGCGCCATGATTAAATAAATATTACATTCTTCGAAAAATGTTGCTATTAAATATTCCACTCTTCAGTAACTAACTGTAAGTTTATAAGGTTATTATGAACACTCCTCTATTATAAAAAATGAAATACCAAACAAAAATTTCTTGAATTGGAATCTTTTCAAATCATCATCTTACCTCAGTATTGAAGTGTGGGAATCGCATGTTCCAGAATTTGACATATTGAACTCTGAAGTCTCAATGAATTAGGAATGAGGATTTCTCCCTAAATATCTCGTTTTAAAAAATATGTTCCATTTTAAAGATATTTTGGTATTTGCCTTTGAAGGTATGTTAACTCTTGATTCTGACTTCATTAAACAAATGTTATATTAAAATGTATGATTTTGCCTTCAGATATCAGGATATCTATCAGTAAAAGATTCACCGAAAACAATTTTAAAATAGAAAATCAAATTGTCTAACTTTTCCAAATTCAATTGTATTTTGCGAAAACAAATGCAGGTATCGGAAATGATGTCAATTAATTTTTTTCCAGCCCTAAAAACATTTTTTTCTTTACACTGTACATATCATTCAAATAAGAATTCAAACATAAGGAGGCTTAAACACTTCGGTTGCCAAACTTTTGGAGGGGATGTAAATTGTATGTACAGGGTGGTCAAATAAAACGGCAACCCTGTCGCTATACTCCCTGATATTTGGTACATGTGTACATCATTCAATCTCCCACCAGCCAGGTTGATAGTTTACAGCACTTTAAACAACATGCTCCAAAGTTCAATGTTTTGCTTTTGGCAAACCTGCATCCGTCGTCAAAAATGTTCTTACCCGACTTCTACCTGTGGGATATGCCAAAGGTAAAGTAGTGTACAGAAAGGACATCAGGACAATTACAGACCTCAAAAAGGAGATCGTACTTTTTTTCAGGCCTCAATACTGAGGATTGCAGTTGGGTCATAGACAACCTGTGCAGGTTTACCTAAGCGCGATGATGGCCGAACCTGGGGCATGTTGTAACATTGTGATCAATCTTGAAATATGGTAAGCTGATAAAAAATAAATAATGTAAAATTGTGTAAAATATCAGGGAGTAATTCTTTAAAATGACAAAGATATGAGGAAAATACAGGGTTGCCATTTTTGACCACCCTGTATGAAAAATACAGAAATGGTTTCATGTGAGGAACCCCAATGAAGGGGGAGATTTGTTGATAACATAAACCGTAGAACCCCTGGTCACCGAATCCTGGATACGCATCCCATGCATCGACAATATATCCCTCAATTGTCAGTGTGTAGTTATCATGTTCATCACTCACATCAAATATGGAGTATTTAGCATGAGGCGTTTCGTTCTGTGGTGGCCACATGGTAAGATCAACTCTGAGTTTATAGTTCCCTTTAGTAACTAAACCATTTAGATTGTCTAGGCCAATGAAATGTTCTCCCATCGGGCTACCAAAATGCAAACCCTCTTTGATACTCTGTCCTAAACATGGAGAAATAACTTTTTCAGCCCTCTGAAAATGTGATTGGAAAATAGCTAAAAGTAAGAGCTTAGGAAAGGTCACTGAACAGAATCTTTTGAATTTTTCTGAAAATGCCGTGCCCAATATAATTGCTCTAAATAAAACACTCTTTGAAAATGTGAGATATTATTCGTAGAAAAAGAAAAATTGAAAACAACT